CTCCTGGCAAGACCAGCATGGTCTTTGTAGATTGGGCTGTAGGTTCTCTTCCTCACTCCATGATAAGCCTTCAAAGAGCTCCTTTGGAAGAGTTCCTCCAATTCTAATTCATCCATTTCCCTAAACATCAGGAGTACCCTGGTCTCAAACAGCTGACTGATTTTTGTGGCAGGGATTATGTATTTTCTGGTTATGAAGTCTTTTTTTTTTCCAGGCACAGTGGAACCTGCTTAGTTATTCTCCTTGCCTAGCCGTGCAAGATGAAATGAGCCTGTCTAAGGCCATAAGAAGGGAAGTCCTTTCTCTCCAGCCATGGAGCCTGGTCCTGACTCAGCATGGCCTGCGGGCACACGCTCCATCCCTGCTGTCTTCCAGTACAAGATGAATATGTGCTAATTTTTCCTTGGAAGCTCATGGGATTTAAGCATATGCATACATGCCCCACTGGATCTATGAGCACGTCATGACTTCTTCCAGCAAAAGGAGGAAAACACTATGCTGACTAGTGTAGGTCCCTAATATTTCCACTTAAACAATGCTCGCTAAGGTTCCCAAACTGTATTATTTATGTCCCCAGAATTGCCAGATTCACCAGAGGGGATTTGAGTGGCCTCTAATGGCAATGCCTGGTCATCTCCATTGTCATGGAGAGAATTGTTAGATCTGTACTCCAGTTTCAGAAGCTTTTTTGTTAAGAAGACAGAAAAATGCAACATTCCCTGTACCCTAGACAATTAAAAGGAAACACCCTGGAAGATGCTGAAAGCCTACAACTGTCACTAAGTCAGTGATGAGGCTGTTTCTCAGGGTAATTAATATGCCCGAGGGGAGGGGGGAGGAATAGAACCAAACCCAAATAGCCTTTTTCCCTGTTCTGTATCCGGAGCTAAAGTTTTAAGCAGCATCTCAGGTGCATGGACCAGGTCTTAATAAAATGGCCTGTGCTATGAAACGTTCCTCCCCACATCCTTTGCTCAGACTGTGAGCCACAGCTGTTGACATGTGAGAATGGCTGTCGCCCTGATCGTGTCACACTGACATTATTTGCCAGGGATGTTGCCGGTCACCCACTGATTACAAGCTAAAGTCTCTGACCTCCTGGCTCAGCCAGCAGTTACAAGTACATCAAGTAGGACAAAGGTGTCCCTTAACATCCGAGTACACCATGAGAATAAAGCCTGACTGCATGCTGGTGTTAACAAAACACATGGAGTATTTTTATCTCTGGAAAGCTATTTCCTATTTGTAATACTACTTGAAACCCCTTCCAAGTCTTCATTTGATGTTACTCGCATTCATATATTTTAAGTGTCTTGTTTTCATTTTCCAAACATGTTTATTAAAAAATGTTCTCAGGGTAGTGGCCCTTGTGGTAGGAATTTATGTTTTGGGGAAAGAATACCAGAGTTGGAGGTTTTTGCCAGCAGGATGTGAAAGCTGAAGGACATAACAATGACTGGGGCTAGAGATTTGTCACAGGGAATTAGAACGCGAAAATTTACAGTCTGGCCATGAGACAGTCCAGGCTAAAGCCATGAATTTATAGGAAGCATTGCCAAAAGCTGGATATTATTATTTTAATCAAACTCTGTTTTACTTTGCACAAAAAAAAAAAAAAAAAAAAAAAAAAAAAGAAGAGGGTTTGCAGAGCCTTTGGCTATGCAGATAGAAGAGAAAGGGCAGAAGAGCCACCTCCATCCCCACTGCTCTTCCCATCCTGGCTTAAGAGTGAGAAGTGTGCATGACCTTGCCTGGAGAAATCATGGGAATTCAACCGCCCCGAATCTCATAGAGAGAGTTTCTGCTTGCTTGGGAACTCCCCTCACACTCAGTGCTGCCAGCTCAGGCTCTGCTGACTTCAAAGGAGCACCAAAAGGGCTGGCACCCACTCTGACACTGACAGGCTGTCCTCCAGCCTGGCCAGAAGTTGCTTCATACCTTAGCTCTGCATCCACCAAAGTGGGTGCAAGAATTTGCAGCTCAGAAGGTTGAAAACAACTTCATCAGTACAGGGCTTGTAGATTCCAGCTCCTCTCCAGATAATGCAGCCTTGAAAGTGCCTGGTGAGGATTTTCATAAAGGAAAGGCTTTATGCTCCTTTATGCTTGTATTGTCCTGGTGACCTTAATTGTTGGTGAGGGTTTTTTTAATTGAATGACAGAAAAGAGTTCTCTTCACTTTTATCCTGAAAGTGCAAGGTCTGGATCTGCTGAAAAATTAATTGTGAGACCTCTGTACCTCTTATTTGTACAGAAGTAGCCACTTATATTTATTGCTTTACATATGGCCACAATCCAGCAAATCACTCAAGCATGTGAATAACTTTAAGCACGGAAGTAGTCCCCTGTGAGCCAGTAGAACCACGACCACACTAAATATACACATCAAGTGATGAGCCCGGCTCCACCCTCGTGTTTTCCCCCAGTGCTGCCATTTCTACACAGCAGGCCAGGGGCTGGTTTCTCGGGTTCCTTTCCAATTGCATAAATCTCGGTCGTGCATTTCAACTGTGGGCTGCATTGATTGCTGCACGCTTATCGATCCTAACCCGCTGCCAAGGCTGCGCAGCACTGCGTTCCCTTCAGATCAAATATTCTTTCCTTTTTTTTCCCTTTAATCTGGAGAAAAACACGTAACGAATTTGCAGTGGCGAGCCTTGCTGAGTTTTATAGGACCTTGCTGCCATATATGACAATCCCTTCTTATCGCACACATAGAGGCGCAGTCCCTCTGGGAGGGCGGGAGCAGCAGGGACATCTGCGAGCCGGCCCCCTCCAGCTGGCTGGAGGAGGGGGCTCCTGCCGCCCCGGGGAGTTCAGGGCAGTGTCTGTCCCGCTTGTTCTCCCCCCGCACGGGTCCGAGGGAGAGAGGCAGCCCCCGCGCCCCCGACGGCTGCGGCCGCCGGCGCCTCGGGGATCTCTCTGCGGGGACCCGCTCTCCTCCTGGGGTAGGGAAGGGGTGCATCCGGTCCGCACCCACCGAGGGCATGCGGGACCGGAGTCAGGGCTGCAGGCGGGATTTCGGGGCAGAAAAAAAGTGAGGAGAAAAGGGGACGGCAAAAACCCCTTTGCAACGGTAAGATGTGAAGCCGGAGCACTAAGCACGTACTAGAATTTATAGATGGACTTTACGGGACGTTTTACTACAACCTTAGAAATTATACTTCTTATACGTAGCATTTTACACCTAGAGGCCGCTCCGGCCGGTTAACGTTCAACACGGGCCGGGCGGTCAGGGAAGAGCTGGGGGAAAACCTTAAAACAAGGTCAAAAGGAAGAGGAGTGTAGCAGGCGATCACGGCCGCCCTTCTCCTCCATCAGAGCCCAGGTTTCACCCATGAGGGCTGTGCGGGGCCAGTCGCTGCGTGGCCGTGGGGGCGCTACGACCGCAGGACCATCTCTCTCGTCTGCGGGCAGAGGCGATAGGGCACATCCCGCACAGCGCTTGGGGGTGCCCTTATGTGTGTGCGGAATACACACGTACCTGTACAGATGTATTTATGGGTGCATACGTATATGCGTGCGTGAATCTGAGACGGTTTCCCGCTGGACCCCGGCTCGGTGGGGAGCCCCGCTGGGCCGGAAAGGAGTCTCTTCTACATTCACACTCGTACACAGACACGCACACCCTGGACTCACACGGCTCCTTTCCCAAAGGTTCCCCCCCTGAGACCGAAAGGCTCCCGTCTCTTCCTCACTGCCGGAGAGAGGCACGCGCGGGATCTTGCTCCCGGGTGGGCTGCAGGGGGCTTTGTGGCTTTGTGGTTTTATTTATTTTCTTTCTTTCATTGCTTTTCTTTTCTCCCGGTCGCGTCCCTCCTCCGCTCCCTCCGGCGGGGCTGGGGACGGCTCTCCCCGACCCCCGGGCTTTTCCAAGGGTTTTACCTGCCGGGCGGCCCGGACGCCCTCTCCCCGTTTAGATCCGGCCCGGGCTCTTACCGAGGCGGTGCCTGGAGGTGACCTGCCCCTCCTCAGCCACACTGCCGTTCCCCCGATGGGGCCGGAGTCCGGGAGGCCCCACTCGCACCGCCGCCGCCACCGTTGCGCTGGGTAGCTGGGCCAGGGCCGGGCCAGTGTCCCCCCAGGAGGGCACAAGCCCGCCCTCCGAGCAGGCAGGGCCGGCGCTGCCCCCTCTTTGGCCGCGACGGCTCTCACTGTCCCGGCTCAGCCTGCGAGGGAGTGACCCCGCGGCCCCGTCGCATCCCTCTGCCTCCGGGGAGGCGCGGGGTGGTCGCAGCCGCAGGGGACAATGCAAGAAAATAAATCCCGCCGTCCCCGAAACCGCGGATCGACCGGGGGGAGGAATTCATCCAGCACCGGTGGACGGGCAGCGCAGAGCTCCCTGAGCCCCTACGCACCGGCGCGCAGCAGCGGCCTGGCTCTGCCCACTCCAGTACCGCGGCTCTGCCGGCACAAGGGAGGTCCGAGCTCTCGAAAAGCGGCCTGAACAGCGGTTTTATTTTTAATTAAAAAATACCTTGCCGCTAAAAATTCGCAAGGGAGCGTTTCTTCCTTGAAGAAGGAGCAGAAAACTGGAGGAATTACTTCCAAAAGAAGGTCGCCTTTAGAAAACTCCAGGTTTAGTAATCGATTAGTCCGGCACTGTATGGCGCTCCAAGGGTGTAAATTCTCCCAGGATCCTGCATTATTGACTGCTACAGTCTATCTGCCCAGTATTCAGCCCTGCACATGAATAACACGGTACCAAAGCGGGCACTTAGCACGATAATTCATATGCCCAGAAAACGCGTGGGTTTGAGGGCCGGCGAGCTATGAGCCGGTCCCCGTCTTGAACCGCACTCATGTGTCGTGTCCCCCCAAAAACCATTCAGTGCAGCCCGGAGGGGCGGGAGGGGGGCAGACATTCTCCGCAGCGTGTAGAAACGGGCGGGTTCAGATGTTAACTATTTCCCCAAGGAAGTTTCTTCCCTCCAAAAACGCTAATGAATGTTGTAAGGGAAAAAAAATAATAATAAAAAAAAGAAGAACCCAAGTAAAACAAATCCAGAAAAGTTTCTTTTATTTCCTGGTACAGGTATGCGGAGGCCGGTGTGCCTGCACACGCGGGCGGGCGAGAAGGAGCACAAAGCCGCGCAGGGAGAGGCCCGCGGGAGAGCCGCCCGGGACACACCGACACCGCGTTTAGCCCTGCCCTGGGCGCGCCGCCACCGTCCAAAGTGCGGAGGCCCCGTCCGAAAACAAAAGAGCAGAGCCGAGGCGGGGGGCGGCGGGGCCAAGGCAGCAGGGATGCCCCGGCCGGCGGGACTGTGGGTTAGGATGTGGATTGGGATGTGGATTAGGATGTGGATTGGGAAGCAGACGGCGCTGCCCGCTCGCACGCCCGGCGCGCGGGGACGAGCAGCAGGCCCCTTGCCGAGGGTTCCCGGGGGTGGGGGGTGTTGAGGGGTGCGAGGCCGGTGTTTCACCCCTCTCCCCCGCCGCTTCTGCAAATAGGCATTTTGCAAATCCCTCATTTCGTTGTGGCTTTTCCAAGCCCTCTCTACGGCTTCCATTGTTCCAGGTTCGCGTTGCCACCGCAGATAAGGGGAAGACCCCGGAAAAAAAAAAAAAAAAAAAAGAAGAAAATCAGGAAAAGAAAAACCGCGAGCCAAGATTTTGATTTACAACCTAATCAAAACATTATATCTTTGGTCAAGTGGCGCAGAAAAATGATGACCCTCAAGGCTTCAGCTAGGGGGAGAAAGAGAAATTCAGATTACACTCGGAGTGATTTATGTCCTCTCTGAGCGGTCACGTTGATTTTTCATCATTTGAGCCATTACACAGTAGAGTGGAAAACTCTGATCCAATTTTTTTTTTTTGGTCTGATACGGTATATATTATTCTTCTAAACGTGTACGCGTATACTATATATTACATACATATTCCTTCTCCACGCACACACATATTCTAAATAAATACATGGATATTTTATATATATGAGAGGAATATAAATAACCAACGCCGCCGAGAAGAAACGAGAGCCGAGAAGAGCATGTAAAATACCGTGCCGATACCCGCAGCGAGCCGCTTGCTGGTTTCCGAGCCCGTCCGGCCGGGACGGTTGGGGCAGAAAAGCACTCGAGTTTCTCCACTTCCCCCCACCCCGGGGGGGTCCCAGATGCCCGCCCCTAGCCGCCGTCGCCCCCAGACCTCCCGCCCGCCGCCCAGCGAGGAGGGAGAGGACAAGGAGGAAGAAGGGGACATTTTTTGAAGCCCCTGTGACACTCACCCATGTTAGGTGCTGACACGGTGCGGAAAAAAACGACGGGAACGGCGTTGGTTCGGAGCGGCGGGAAGGCCGGGTATTGAGGAGGGGGCACCGCCTCCCCCCGCCCCAAGCACAGAGGCTCTGACTGACCCTCTGGCAACAGCACAGAAAGGAGAGCAAACAGAAAACGGGTTTAGAAAAACAACACACATACACACAAAAAAAAAGAAAAAAATATTTAAAAAAATAATTAAAATCAACACACACACACACCCGGGAAACAAACAGAAAAACAAAATATGGGGGGGGGGGAATAAAAATTACAGAAAACATATGAAAGAAAAAAAGTGTGGATGGGGTCTGCTCACGCTGCAAATGGGAACACGAAAGGGGAAGACGCCGTTTTCGGATGGGGAAAGCATTTTCCCCATGGGAAAGAGCAGGGCGCTGACCTCGCCCCCTCTTTCCTGCTCCTCTCCCCGGCTAACCGCGGTGCTTCCCGGCCGCACAAAAGCGCGCAAGGAGAGCGCAAAGGCCGCGCACGGTGCAAGCTCGCCCCCCACCGCGGTGAATTGCCTCCCTGGAGTCCCCTCCACTGCTCGCCAGTTTACGCGCCTGCGGAATTTCTTCGCCGGGTGCCGCAGGAACAGCCCCGCACCCCCCTGCAGCCCCTCCTTGCCTGCCCAGGGGTTGAGGGCCGCCGGGAGGGAGGGAGGGCCGAGCGGCAATTCATCTTGATTTGTTTCAATCGTCCGGGGCGACGGCAAAGTTATAATCCTGTATAATTTCAGGAACAAGCAGGTTGAGAATGAATGGGTCGATATTATTTAAAACAAAACACAGGAGAGCACGACCTTTCCCTTCAACGACGTGTTGCAGCACGAAGTCGCAGGAAACGCGGGGCTAACCTCTCACCCCCGCGCTCCGCGGGGCCGCCGTGATTTGGGCTGCTCTTTGTTTCTCTTCATGTCTGAAAGGGGGATTTGGAATAGAAATGCAATAGTACATGAAGGATCTCCCCGCTGAAGGGAGAGAAGGTGAGCGCAGGGGGCGGCAGAGGGGACAGATTATTCTGAACAGGAGCAGTTTGTTTGCAAACTGGCTTTTCTTTGCCTTTTTTTTTCTGTTCTCTTCCCCACCCCCTCTTCTTTAATGTAATAAAAGCTTCCTTCACAGAGGGAGAAATTTATGCTCGAGATACAGCAACTTTGTGGCTGATAATTCCCGAGGCCAACGATGTCAAATAATCCATTTTCTCGGGGCTGCGTGGGGGAATAAAGGGATTCCGCGGGTCCAAGCCGCGCGTTCCTCTATCATGCAGCGTTAGAGCCTGGGATCTATTTTTTACGTGGAAACAAAAAGTGCCGACACTTATTTGTATTGCAATAAAAAGAACTGCCCTGTGTTTCTAGAGAGCGAGGTCCAGTGTCAGCGACCAGTCAATCACTGCGGAGCAGTTACCGCTGCGCAGCTTGTCTCGGTAAATAAAAATGCAGACAGAACTATATGCCGTATATTTTACTCCCATGAAATAAAACACATTTCATTTCATTTTTTTTCATGTTTGCTGAAAAGTAAAACAATAATAATTGTACGAAATGTTATACACAGGGCATGTTTTACATTGCAATATCAGAAACATCATTGCATCCACCAGAGGTACTATTCTAAAACTGATATTCACACAATTTTTTTGTTTTTAATAATTATATGTTAGAAACATACAGTGTCGCATTTAGTATATACATTCCCTTGCTCGCAAGCGAAAAAATTCTAATCGCTTCTGTGTAACATGCTTTATTTTAAAGCCTAACCTTTTAAAAACACTGTTGTGATATTACTAACAACTGCTTTTATAAAATTAATTTGACATTTCGATATATATACATCCTTTCAGTCATTTTTATGTTAACAATGCTAAACTTAAAAAATAACAAGCTTATAGTAACATTAAAATGTCATATCATATCCAGTCAAACATTTGTCCATATATATATATATATATATATGTCCTTGTAACTGTTGAAATACTCTTAGTGAAAGATCTCAGAATCTGTAGAAGGTCCTTTGAAAACAAAGGAACTATCTTATTTCAGTGGTTTCCTCTTTTTTTTCCCCCTTCTCTTTCCTCTTTCCCTCTCTCTCTCTCTTTGATTTTTCCTCCTGTCTCTTTCTCCCTAGTGCCCATTACTTTCTAGCGTGATTCTCAGTCTCTGCAGGAAGCGGGAGGGATTCCCAGGCAGTGTTTCCTACTTGGGTGCCTCACACGGGTCTGTCCACCGCGTACTGGCAAGCGCTCAGGTTGGAAGCAGGGTTCTGCACGCTGGCGTAGCCAAAACTGGAGTGCTGCTTGGCTTTAAGTCTCAGACTCGCCAAGCTCGAGTTGCATGTGTCCCTATAAACATATGGAGGTGTTGGAGGAGCATAAGGACAGGCTGGCGTCGGCACCGCAGAATTCAGGGAGGGATTGCTCAAGTTGTTCAAGTTATTCAGGCTGTTGAGGCTGGAGCCGGGGACCCCGGTGACTGCAGAGGGTACCATGCTTGAAGACATACTCATGGAGGAAATGGAGTTTGGAGGGGAGAACATGCTCTGAGAAGACAGAGGGTTGACATTCATGGAGTTGAAGAAAGGAAAGCTTTTGGTGGAGAGTGAAGCGGAGGTCAGGCCCTTGGCTGCCCAGTTGTTGTACGAGTAGCCGGGGTACATGTCATCGTAGGGCTGCATCAGGCCGTTAAACTGTGGACCGAAGCCGTTTTTGCAAAGCTCGGCTTGCTGGTTCCTTTCTCTCTTTCTCCATTTGGCTCTGCGGTTCTTGAACCAAACCTTTGGAACGGGGAGGAAGAGGGAAGGAGGGAGGGAGATGGGAGACGCGAATTAGTCAGGAACCACTGCCGCAGCCTTTCGCAAGATCTCGGCAACAGCCGAGCTTGTCCCTATGCACGGGCATACATATATGCATGCGTACATACATGAAGATGTGTCCGTACACACACACACACAGAGGTTCGCCACCTCCTCTGGGGAGCCCCTCGCTGGGCCGGGGCAGCAATGTGCTGCCGGGCCCGCAGAGCACCCCCCGGGCCTGGCGCTGCCGGGTCTCAGCAGGGTAAATTCGTGCCCCTTCCCCGAAACCCCCGGCACAGTATGCGATACTCTCATTCGAGCCACAGCGGTAAACGCTTCCCTCTTCTATGTTCCTATCGTTACTGTCATTTTCCTCGTTTCTCTCTCTTTTATGCACCCCTCCTTCCTTGGCTTATTCTGCGCTGAAGCCAACCAGGGGAAATACAAAAGTGTAAAAATAAGGGCAAAATGCCCGGAAACCCGTGGAATTTTAGGGCTATGTTTCCTATTACGGGGAAGGAGGGGGAAGCCAGCAACTAATAAATCCTTGCTTCAGTTTGTTAAAGCTACAAAGCTTCCAGAGCCGAAAAGCACTTTCTAAACAAACTTATTCGACTGCTCTTTGGCAAAAAGAAAAGGAAAACCCAAAGAGACCGAAATAAAACCCCAACCCCAAAAAAATCAACATTTAACAATGTGCTAAATGAGACCCAAGAGACCCTCCTCAGACAATGGGGACAACGTGTCCTTCCCAATCCACATCTGGGTGCCTGACCCGTCGGGCAGCCGCCAGCAGCAGCCTCACCCGTGTGTATTGGAGCCACCCCTGGGTGTTTGCAGCACCCCCCCCCCGCACTGGGCCGGGCAGGGGCCGCCCGGACACCACGGAGACGGGCCCCATATGGCCTCTCTGCACCTTCCGAAACCAAAACCTCCCGCAAAAGCTGTACCGTGTCCGACACCACTCCGTACCCCGGCGCGGCCCCGGCCGGGCCCCGCTCCCCCTGCGGAGCTGCCTCGGCCCTGCACACCGTGGGCCCCACTCACTCCGGCCCTGACTCGCACTGCATCGCTTTCCCTAAACTATCGCGGGGAAAGGATTTACGTGGGATTTTTAAAAAAATGTGGGTTCGGCCCGTCTGGGGCTCTTTTTTTAGATGTCGTTTCCCTTCCCCCCCCCCCCCCCCCCAGCGCGGCGTTTGCAAGCCAGAAGGATCTGGCCTCGGCAACTCTGCAGCGCCGTGATGGTCCCATAAATCTCAGAGGGGGTAAGGGAGGAGAGAGACGCCCGTCGAATTGTGAAACCAAAAGAAAGAGAAAATGCAAGGAAGGGCACGTCGGGACTGCCTTGGAGAGAAGTAAAAGCCCTTGTGTGTTTTACATCTTTTTCGCATTAGCGGCAGCGCAGGTTGCAGCCTGTTCCGAGTTGCTTTCTTGGCTAATGTTTTCATTAGCGTTTCGATCAAAAGGAGCAGGACGCATTGCGCGGCGAGGGCGAAACGTGCAGCAAACCATATTCCGGGGGTAGAGAGTGAGAGAGGGATCCCAATCTATCTCGCTTTGACAGAACTGTCCTGCTCTGCCCTGCTTTTGTGCAAAGGCTCTGGAGTTTGCGTACAAACCGAAATCGAAAGCAGCTGCAGACACCGCAGCCCTCCTCCCCTTCCTCCCCGCCCCGACCCCCGCTGCTAGGAGCCGGCGTGTCCTGTCGCAACTTACCCTAACCCTCGCCTCGGTGAGGTTGGTCCAGACGGCGATCTCCTCCCGAGTGGACATGTCCGGGTAGCGATTCCGCTGGAAAGTGGCCTCCAGCTCCTGCAGCTGCTGGCTGGTAAAGTGGGTCCGCTGCCGCCGCTGCCTCTTTTTCTTGGAGGGATCCTCGGGCCCAGCATCCTCACTCTTGCTCTGCTGGCTCTTATCTTTCTCTGTAAGGGGGGAAACAAAAAAAACAACAAGGCGAAAAACAGGGGCGCCTCAGCCTTCGAAGCCTCCTCTTTCTCTCTCCTCTCCCGTGGCAGGGGAAGCGCTCGTCCCCGGCTCGCCGGGCCCCGCAGCCTGCCCCCAGCGCGGCTTGCCGGTGTAATGATTAACCGCACCGGCCTCCCGCACCAGCGGCTCCTCCGAACCCGCGGGCGGCTCCTCCCTGAAAGTAGCCACCTCCGGGGAGCGGACGGAGCCGCCCCTCCGCCGATGTACGCAGGTTTCTCACCTATTGATGCACACGAATTTTTTGCCAGTCTGTATCTCCCATCTGCATACACGTAATCCGTATTATTTGCCTATACGTAACCGTATT